AAAAAGGAGCTTCAGTTCCAGGGAAGAGGGCGTGGAGCCAAGGGGAGCGCATGGGTCAGTGATGTTTAAGTAGTAAGTGTAGGAGGGAGGGAGTGAACTAAAAAGGAAACTAGAACTAGAAGGAGCCTCAACTGGGCGATAGAAAGTTCAGAAATCGAATGATTAATCCCTCCTCAAGAACCAGAGTTAAACATGGCCAACTCGAAAGGGCAATCAAAGGTTCAGTTGAAGGTTGAGGAGAAATGCGATCAAGAGCCAGAGGTGGAGGACATGTTTTTCGCCTCGACCGAACTTCCTTCCTTTCGACTTGGATGATTGAGGCAGTGCAAGCCAGCTGATAGTTCTAATTGGCTCCTACTCTTCACCTTGGGGTGCATGTAGAAAGAGACGTACCTTAAGGGCATTAAAAACTGGATCTTCTTAAGCCCGGGGCAGGGGCCGGGCAAGCGCTAAATTGACGGAAGTCCTTCTGTCTTTGGGTAAAGACGACTGAGAGTCCAAACATGCAGTATCCATCAGGTCCATTGAATCATTAATTAGGTAGGCGCTGAATGTACCTAAAAATGACATGGACACGATGTGACAGGGAATCCCGCATCATGATTTCCCGTGGGAAAGATGATGAACTGCAGTTGCTTAATATGCACTGTGCTTATTGCTCTTGGATCCCTATCAATCAGATTTCGAGTCCAGTATCAAACATCGATCGATATATTGATTTGTCCATAAATCAATCAATGCTTAGACGGTCGATCCTCTTCATCTCCGCAATGTCCAAGTTGAAAGATTTCCCTCCTATGACTGCTGTAGCTTCTAGGCGGCCTCTCTCTAGCTCTACTCCATAGCTTTACGCTCACAAGATGAGGCTGTGTAATGATTTGAGTTCCGGCGTGACCTAGAGTTTCCTCATTACCAAAGGCGAAATAGTGACGAATTTCAGCTGTCGTTGTTCTTCCTCAACAGATTTTGAGGCAGCTCATGATGATGCTCTTCATGCGTTCTCTCTGCCCCCTGTCGCCACAGTGCACGCACCTACATGAACATCCCATCCCGTCTTGGCGGTCCGTCTAGAAGCGACAGAGCCAAGCCTCTAGAATCTACAGAGTAGCAGTAGGCCGCTCAATGGCATGACTTGGCGCCAAGCTAACATGCTCTGTGAAACGTCTTTGATCTACCAAACAGTGCTGTATTTATTTTCAGGTCTTAAAAGATGTGATGTTGGTTCACCTGTTTTTGTTCAAGCAACTCTTATTGCTGGTAAAGTCCTTACATGAGACATGTCAATTTGTTGTCATTTACACCAATCCATCAACCACAAACAAATGACGTCTAATACCGCAAATGTTTGTCACCGTGTTAAGCGAAATGGGCAACAACAATAGCTTGGTAATGCCCCAGTTCCACCTCGAAGCAATTGCCGGATCATATCACACACTGGTATGAACATAGCATCGGTCGACGTGACGACGCGTTACTATTCTTGCTAATTTACAGTGGACGATATGTCTTAGTCTATCGGCCCCATCAATATCAAGCTCACATATTTGACTTGATTCACCGGGGTTTTTCAACATCCGGAATGTGCATATCTCTTGAACAACCAACTTCCTCATCAAGGATGAATCCTAACGGCGCTGACGGACATAAAGGAACAAGACTCCCGCGGCCTAGTCCGTAGGAATACAGAAGTTCTATGGGTAATTTCCTTGTAAATTGGGTCTCGTCAATCCTTGTTTTTTAGCTGCGGGTTCTTGCGTACATAGTCACACGGCTGATGAGCTTAATTATTCCCTAAGATTGCTTTACCGTGTATTCCGCAGCTGCCAAAATAGCCTCATGTAAAACTTGTTTCTTAGCGCTAATGGCATCTTTGAGGAATTGTTCACTCTCAAACATCCGTACGAGAAGTAATTGTAGAGCTCACAATGTGGTTACACCTGACTGATACATGAAGAAAAAACAAGTCAAGCAGCAAAGTCGTATTCAGGGGTTTATTACCAGGATTAAGAGGCTCGGGATCGATCCTGTCCAAGAGATATTGTATCAACCAGTGACAAAGACCCATAACGCTATTCGAGGGCTATCCAATCGCGCTCGGATCCAATCTCCACTATCTAGACAAGCTTCATTTATGATTTTTTAGAAGGATGGGCTTTGGTTGTGAAGAAACAGCCAGGATTGATTACCCAGGTAGGCAAGTGGTTATCATCAACACGAGATAGGCCAACTAGGTGAGCTCAGTGACAAATGTCGTGCTTGAAACATATTCTTGGCAATTCAGCACTGAACCAAGTGAAAGTGCCAAACCTTGGGCATCTCCTTTTTATGCCCGTCGTATGTCGGTCATGAACGAATAAAGAGTATTGGCATTGGTATGGTCGAAACTACATCTCCACCTACAGACGGCCAAACACTTACAGGCCCATTACAGGCTTTCGATGGGAATACAATATCTTGCTGTCACTACCTAAGTCAGTGACATACAGTAATGGGAGGCCTTTGTAGGAGGCCGTCCGTACGTTCAAGAAGTGGCGTGTGTCGCTACACAGCCACAACGCCACATCGCACGTCCTAAAGCTCATCCTATGGGACGTCTCATAACAGAGCGAGTGAGTATCGAGCAGATCAAGCATTAGGAATACATGTCAAGTGATCTCGGCATAATAGTAGTCCCTTGTAAAACGCAACACATCTTCATTGATTTCTATTGTGTTGACTTTGTCTTCTAAACTCAACAACAATCATCGTTGAAAAAGATTTGTCCTCGTCCAATTTGGGTAGCAAATATCGAATTAAGTAGCCAATCAAATGCAGTTTTATCTCTCTGCCCAGAAATCCTTCAACTGTCACTTTATGCGGCCAGGGTCTTTGAGCATTGAAGCCAAGACCGGCCTAAGTACAAGCTAACAAGCTGAGTCAAGCCAAGACCAAGCTCACAAAATCACCGAGCTTCTTCTATAAGAACGCGACGCAAACCCAAAGAAAACTCCTTTCCATTTCGAGGCATTTCTCCTAAGAGTCATTATAGGCAAAATACACAACAGCCCAAAATGATCACACGCACGACTTACACATGATTCATTGATCTCGCCTGAAAGATAGTGCACATCGCACTGTAGTCCTATGCTACATTTTACGAAGCGGCGTCTTAAGATTTCGGGTACGAGTTCCATTGCTTCGCCTCACCAGTTGACCGAGGTAGTGTCCAGAGCATCCTCACGACATCATGGTGGCGCTCCTCGGGAAACTTCCCATCACTCAAAAATGGCAGTGTTGGTTGCGTTACTTACATAGCCTTCGGCCAATTAGGTGGTCATGGCTTGTCATCCCATGTGCAAGTTGTACGACCTACAGAGCAAAAATTACTCAAGCCACGTTCGATGTGATCGATATAGAGATATCGATGTATCAATACGCATTGTGCTAGGTTCCTGGTTTCAAATCAGACTAAGCTTATGCGTGCTCTCAAACCCGTAATTCCGGGCCGTGTAGAACCCTCTCTGTTGTTCCTTGGGCCAAGGCATAAGAGTATACTCGGAGAGTCAGCGTTCCGGATAACTGATGCATATGCGCTTCGCCTCTGGTGTTGCAATTCCGAAACCGGAATTCTACTATATACTCATTTTCGAAGAGTCAGTCCTTTCTTTTTTTTGTCCCTCTTACGACAACCGGTATTTGGTGTCCCTGCCAGTGGGTAGCAGAATAGTTAGCCTCCTAAGTCTTAGGGTATGAAATAAGTAGTCTAAGAACTATAGTCTAAGGAGCATAAACTGAACTACTAATTTCGTCTCTTATGCTTCCAGCAGTCAATTTTTCTGATACCCTGAGGCCTACAGTCATGGGTTCTTGACTCAATGCTCCTCGGCGCAACATGTATAAGCCAGTTTATCCAAGAACAGTCAGACCACTACCACTTATTTCTTTCTTAGGCAAGTTCTAAGCACAAGACGAAACTTGAAGATTCCGGACTAGCACATCGATCGAATCTTATAAAAATCGCAAGTCGCAAGGCCGATTTCACATAAGATTCATCTCAGGCAAATGAGATTACCCTATAGTAATGAGATCTACCATGTTAGAGCTATGTCTAAAGGCTGACAGATTATATGTCAACTGTGTAGGATCAAGGTCGGACTTCTTTAGTCATTGTGTGCCTTGACTAGTAAGTGCGCCTACAGTTATGAGGTGGTTGTGCTGGATATCGTATCTCATGATGATGAATGCAATTTCAGTTTCACACAAGTTATCAATACGCCCTGGCCAACCACCAAAATCAAACCATCCAGCTGGTATCACAAATATCCGCAGTGACATTCAAATCACAATTACAATATCCACTTTCTAGATGAAACATACTTTATTTTGCTTGATAAAGACCTTATGTTTTGTACTTCTAAGCACAGCCTCCTTCTCATCTAAAAGTCCCTGCTTCCGTACGGCACAGCAGAAACGGAACTACCTTTGATGGAACTTGGACACGATTCACTTTGGTGATCATCATTAGAAGTTCGTTTGTTCAAATGAAGTGATGTTGAAGTTTATCCCGCTTTCAACTCCACTACATCGTGGCTGTGTAGTTGGATCTTAATCCCAATTGGGAGTTGATATCCTTCTCTCGAGCAACTGATCAATACAAGATGAGGGATTATGCCTAATCCAGTCAGTATTTTTCATGTGAATACAACTCGTTATGGTTTCCCTACATTATGCGAACCTGATATCGGCGAACTTACACTGAATGTGCAGTGACGGAAGCTAAGATAGTAGGTGCTAGGTAGGCATAAAGTCAGACTATACTCCGCTCATTTTGAACACAGCTTCCTCTACTGACATGGTCACTGCATGTGCGGAAGGTGCTAATTGAATAGCAAAATTTAATAAGAAAGTGTATGGTGTGCATGTAAAATAAAAGAACTTTTGAACTCCCGAGTAGCACACATATTGTGATATGGCGGTGACTGGCTACCCTTTTCGAAACTCCAAATCCACTGGCAGTTGCCTTACCTCCGTCCCAAATCTACCTTGCGGACAGGAACCATATCCTCGGCACCCTCTTGATCCTTAATTGAGCTCTCAATACCAAAGAATGGCGCAACACCATGTCTCATTACACCCTTCCAAAACCCAGACACAATCTCCTTCAGATCACCCCCGGTCTGCTTGAAGTCAGGGAAGGCATTCACCTCAAGCAACCAGGCAGTGCCTTGAGCATCCACCAGGAAATCGAGACCGTAGACTTCGAAAGCATTAGGCATCGTCTGGAAATGGATTGGCATAGCCTTTGCTGCCGCCTCGAAGATCTCGCCCGTCACATCACAGATTTGACGGAAGATGTCGTCTCGCATGTCGCTTGATAGAGGCAGGTCCCAGAAACGACGAACAGTGTTCTCGTTTGGCGAGTCTTGAAGACATGTGTTGGTCAGGAAAGACTCAATGTCTTCTGGTGCATCTGCGGGTGCAGTGTATGGCTTGCCAGCGAAGAGCGCAAGCATATGCTTGTAGACCCAGACATCAAGGCTTCCGGTGCACATTACGTATGTGCGGATATGGAACTTACGCTTTTCGCCATCAACAAGTAGAGGTGGGTGGATATATGGCTGCGCGACGAAATGTCGGAGATGTGAGGTTGTAATGCCGTCACCATTGTTGTCATTGTCAGCGACCTCCTCTTCATCGTCAGTATCGGGCTGGTCCTCCTCCCAGATATCGAAGATGTTCTGGAGCTCGTCCATCGAACTGAAGAGTTTGATACCCTGGCCTCGATCACTCATGCCTGGCTTCAAGATCCACCACTCCTTAGAGCTGGGATCTGATTGCTCTTCGTTACGATCCATACTTTCTCGAAGATCAAAGGCCTCTACCAGAGCATCATCCAGAAATTCGGCGAAATCGACCTCAAAGGCTTCGCTGCGCTTGATGTGCGTCTTTAGGACAGACTCAGGATGCTTTGCCACCCAGTGATCCACAGTAGTAGACAGGTAGTGTTTTCGAATAAGAGCCTTTCGGATCATGTAGCTGTTGATAAGAGTGGTGCACTCATGGCTGCCAGCATACTCAAAGTCGATGGCTTCGTACGCAGTAATCTGCAAGATGTTTTCCTCTGAGGGGACAATTTTCGCAAGAGCTGGCTCATCAGACTCTGGTACTTCAGTGATCACATTGAAAACCCCCTCAGGGAAGAGAGAGTTCAAGGCGGATAAGATGAGCGGTTGAACGTATGCATCTTCGTAGGAAATGACAGCCTGGATTGAGGGGCCTTTTGGCCTCGACGTCATCTCTTGACTTTTCTGGTTCGCCACCGAGCCCGAATCCCTTTATAAAAAGTAAGAATGTATCTATTGATAGTCTTGATAGAATACAGGCATTGTGCTTCTCTCCTGGCCCTGCCCGCCACATATCACACGATCGAGGGTACTTACAGTTCAAGCTCTTTCTGGTTAAATTCTCCAGCACCATGCATGAAGTTCGCCTTAAGAGGAGTGATACTAGAGCAGTCAGTAATGTTTGTTTCTCGTAACGGTCAAACATACCTTGTCAGTCCTTCTTTGACGGCCCATCCATCGTTACCAGGCGCAGACTCTTCTACGCTCTTATATACATCCGTGAACCTTGGTGCCCACTTGAAGTGTTTGTGAGAATGTCCTTTTCGTGAGATAGATCGGGCGGCATCGTCAACCTCGCCGTTTACGCCCTCGCGAATCCTCTCCTCTTCTTCGTTCTCGTCTCCTGCCTCACCTTCAATTTCCTGAAAGCAACCCCCCTCTCGCCAGTAGTTCTGCAGAACGTTTGTCCAAATGGCCTTGTTGTTTTCCAGACCTTCTACTAGAGGAACATTGACGCTGTAGAGATCCGCACTACCGTCCGTTGGCCACTGCTTGTAAAGAGTCTCAATAACCTTGACGCTACGGCGACAAGCAGCCTCGATGATGACCGGGTCGTGGTTCCTGGTGAAGAAAGCAAAGCTCAAGGCAATTGACTTCTTTTGACAAACAGCAGCCTCCAGAGCGGCACCTAGAGTTCCTGAACTAAGAGCAAAGACAGCAGTGGTGTTTCTGCCATAGTTGGGACCACTAACGACAAGATCAATAGGTCCTCGATCTTGGAAGAAGTGGTGAAGACCAATCTGGACGCAAGAGGCGGGTGTCCCGTCAACCAAGATCCATTCTTCAACATCTCCTTCAGGAGATGGTCGATGGTGAGTGGTACCTTGAGAATCATCACCATGGACGACGGATGAAGGGCGGTAGTACACAGGCTTGAGGGTTTGACCAATCATGTGTGCCTTTCCAATCCATGACCTCTGCGTGTGAGGAAGACATACAGAAACAGTGTGGCCGGCCTGTTGTAGCTGCTGAATGAGACAGTGAACGTATGGAGACGAATGTGGTGATGGCGGACCATCATCATTGGTAACGAGGATATGCATCTTTGACTGTGATGAGAAGGCCGGCGATTAGTATGAGCTATCACAGGTGTCAGTAAGAATCTTCTTGGGTAGAGAGGACAAGACAGAAGAAAAGATTCAACTCACTCGCAATGCCTGTTTATACAGTAGATCTACGCAAGTATTTGACGGATGAACGTTGGGCAGAATGGAATCAATGAGGGGCACGTAGACGTGGGGCAGGAACGCTAAGCAAGTCAGCACGTCACAGAATCACTTCCAATTGGCGTTTGGCATGGGAAACTACGGGCACAAGCAGGGAACTCATGTTATTATCATGAACTTGTCTGATTTCTTTATTCGACCGACTCGATCATGAAGAAAAAAACTACCTAAAAACCGGGGCTCACAGAATTGAATATGCCTAAGGAAAATTCCTTGCCAAGCCAAACCAAACCAGACCAGACCAGCCGATACCGAACCAAATAAAACAGAATAAATCGAAACAGACTCAGGCTTGCTTCCTCTCTTCCACTGTTTGAGGTCAGGTATGAATCAATCAATCAATCAACCATTCAATACGTCGTCTTCCTGTGCGATACATTCCATCGTCCCTAGCAGACTTGCTAGTCCTTTTTGACGCTCTAATTCCATCCAACGCCGTGATAAAGCCAGTACTAATTTCCATTATAAGGCAAAAGGTAGGGAAATTCCCGTGTGCAGAATTATGAATTGTCGTGGAACAGCCGCTTGACTGTGATGCGAGAATGTGATAAGAAAGCAAATGTAACGCCGAAGAACCGAAAGGAGTGGCCTAAACGCGACTGCGCTTGGTCTCCCTGGTGTCAATGCTTTCTCCTGATCGTTTGCGCGATGGCGATTTGGGGGCGCTTTCCTTTGTTCGTCGCCAGGAATCAAAGGGGCTTCGCTTGCTGGGTCGCTTAACAACGGGTGCGCTCTCTGTCAGCTTATTGGCAGATCGAGTGACTCGTCGAGTAGACGGTGGTGAAGCCGGAGCGAATTGGGGCGCAGGGGTAGATTCGCGCTCTTTCACTGACGGCGTCGCTGGGCAAGCCAGTTCCTCGTCGTTTTCTTCCACATCCGTCATAGCTTCTTCTTCTTCCACATCTGTCACAGCTTCTTCTTCTTCAACCTGCTCCTTCGTCTTGACATCCTGGAAGAGGAGACGAGGCTTAATCGAAGCTCGCGTCAGAGGACGATGAATATGAGCCTCTGGGTCTTCCTCTGCAGTTTGGCGCTCATCTAGATCTTCAGTTTCATGCTCAGTGAATTTGCGGAAGAATCTCTTGCCACGGCTATTAAAGTTAGTGATTTGTTTTAGAAAAAAATGAGGTTGGTAAGACTTACAATGTGTACACCATACCATCCTTACGGTCAGCGAGCTCATCCACGGTCTTCACGCCCTCTCCAGGAACCTTAACCTTGCGCTTGTCGTGGCGTTTGCTAGGTCCAGCATGGGGTGCTTCGCTGAAGAAAGGGTTTTCTGAACTGAGGAAAGGGTTGTCTTCTCGTTCATCACGAACAGGAACCCGGTCACGGGTATCAGTAAAAATCTCAATAGGTTCCTCAATCTCCTCTACAGCAAAGCTTTCCAACGAAATGCCGCTGTACTTCTTGGCAGATCGCTTCTTGGGAGTTAAAATTGCTTCATCGGTTTCAGAGCTAAAAAGGTTGCGGGCGACTGCTTTAATGTGGGCGGTCTTCTTCTCAGTGGGTGGCTTTTGGGGTGTCTTTGATGGTGTGGGAAGCATGCCACCAGCGCCGATGACAGAAGAGCTGGATCGCTCATGGGTGCGACGGCTGGCGCCATCTCGAGAAGTTTCAGCATGCATGTTTTCTGTTGCGCGACGAACAAAATCGTTGGCGGGTATTCGCTTCTTTTGCGTCATAGGTGAGGCGATGGCAGCGTTCAGATGCTTAGAAGACTTTTTGGCGGTTTGAGGTGATCGAAGTTGACGGTCTGATGCGCCGGGAGATGGAGTCCTTGTTCGTTTTGATGAAATTCGTGCAGACTTGCGAGGTGAAAAAGGTTCCCAGTGGTCTTGGTAACCAAGGCGAGGAGTTGGAGGAGTGCGGATGTTGGATGGCGGTGGAGGAGTGGTAGAACCGTGTGCGTCGGTCATGTTGACGGTTAGGCGGCAGCGCCGGGGGAAAAAAACAAAAAAACAATTGCTAGTTGGAGCCTTTTCGCTGTAATCTGAGGCTTGACCTTGGAATGATTGTATCGACTCAAGACTTAAAGTGTGTACTCGATGGCTGCCAGGTCTACCAAAAGATTACGTCGAATTGAGGGTGCGTGGACTGATGTAATAAACAGCGCAGTTGACTTAAATCAGTTGCAGTGATTGACTGCAAAAGGGGTATAGTTTTGGAGAAGTAACAATAAGAGTCGGCAGTGATAAAAGTCGCTTGCTAATAGTTGGAGTTGGCAGATTTAGAGATGAATGTTTGTAGGGTAAGATGTTTACATTTGAACAGAGGAGAACAATCAAAACTAGGTAGGTAATGAGTGAAGTGGCTGGGACAGACTCTACCCTGGAGCGTGCGCCAACTCCCAGCCTCCCTATTCTTGGTTGTGCGACTTGGTTTACCCACTAAAATTACAGGCCCCTGCCCTAAGGTGGCAGAAAAATTGGCCGTTGAGCATAAGAGACGAAATTAGTAGGTCAGTTTATGCCGTCTAGATCATACTTCTTAGGCTGTTTATTTTTGTATCCAAGACTGAGGAGGTAAATATTTCTGTCGCCCAGTGGCCCCGCTACAACCTGAACGCGTCCGTCGGGCGAGCAACCCCGCCTAGACGCGTTGTCTACGCGACAAAGAGAAGCCAATCAAGGTGGAGGCATGAGGAATGAATTAAAGCGAAAGGTGGGAACAATTGAAATGCCCCTCATGAATTAAACAACCTAAGCTCCATGTCGGTGTATGGCAACGCATTACTATCAAGTCAACAAGCGCCGATCCTGACCCTACATGCGCCACTATGTTTTCTACATAAATTCCGAAACGTATACTATCCGAAACACACGACCTTACTGCGACCATAAACCGGCGCTTCCAGCTGAGGCTACCCAACAAACAGGCCCCGCCTCCATACCCTAGTTACTTGCTGTCATGGCCGACGATACAACAGAATTTACAGAGTCGAACATTTGGGAATCCCCTTCGCAAGGAGATGGCCCACCGACATCCTGCCCAAGGACTCCTAGAACCCCCAAGACCCCCAAAACACCGATACAAGAACGTCCAGAGCCCTTAGACCATGAAGCCGCACTGCGTAAGGAGCTTGAAGGTGTCCGGAATATCAATGAGTCGCTTGAGGGCGTCATTTCCACTCTAGAGCGCGCAGGGGGTAACATGAATGTGTGTTTCTCATAACTTGAGTTGTTGAATACCCACTGACCATCGGCAGACCGTTTTGAGCACAGTCAACAATGCTTCTGTTCTCCTCAACACTTGGACACGGATATTATCACAGACCGAGCATAACCAGCGATTGATATTAGACCCTGGATGGAAAGGCGCAACAGAAGATATGGCGGAGCAAGAAGCGGAAGCCATTCAGAAACAGCAGGCCGTTGAACGTAAAGCTGCGGAAGAGGAAGAGAGACGCGAACAATTGCGACAGCGCCGTGAAGAAGAAGAGGAGAGACGAAGACTGGCAGCATCTGCACCCGCTCGCGGAACGAGAGGAACAAGAGGAACCCGGGGAATTAGAGGCACCACTCGGGCACGTGGTACTGCGAGGGCCGGGAGCTCAACTGCCACTTCTGCAAGCAGAACATCGAGCATACCAAGTCGTGGAGCCTCTAACATCGGTCGAGGGTTTGGTGCGCGCCGAGCTAGAGGGACATAACGGGGCCAAGTCCAGACACTCACGCTTTAATTAATGACATATACCCAATAGCTCTTGTTATTATTACTTCTTCTTGAAAAAGTCGCTCATCTTCTTCATGCCCTTAGTGTTGACTTTCTTGAGATCCCGGACACCACGGCTCTCTAGTGCTTTCTTTCTCTTTTCCTCCTCCATCTTTCTTTTCTTGATAAAAGCCTCGTCTTCATCTTCCAATCCACGCTTGCGAGAGTAATCAATAGAGTGTGCAGCCATGGCTTCGGCACGTAATTTGGCCAATTTATCCAAGTATTCCTCTAAATGTGAGAAATCTACCAGAGATTCCTTCTTTAGAAGCTCTTCCAGCTGGGTAGCGAGAGTCTGGGCAACGTAACCTGAGCAGATGAAACTGAACGCGACTCGCAACCTTTGAAGAGAGACAATTTCAGAAGAGGCTTCAATGGCGCTGACGATGTTCTCGGTGGTAGTCTCTTCTGTCATAGTCGTAGCTACTGTGGAAGGTTGGGAGACTGCTGTCTCTATTGTGACGGCGGTTGACTGAGAATTGTTCGAGTCTGAAGCTGTTGCTGGGGACTCTGTCTTTACTACCGTTGTAGTCTCCGTGGTTTCTCGTTTCTGCACAAGAATTGGTGCCTCAAGAGCCTTCTTCACAAACTTCTCCTCCATAGTTGGAGCAAGTCCCCCATCCTGCATCCTTTGAGCCTTTTGCAAAACGACCTTGGCCAGTTTGCTCTCATTTAATCGGAACATGCTCTCGTCTCCTGCATCGACAGTATCGCAAACCACAGCCATTCGACTCTCGATGAGTTTTCGTGTCTTGTCGCATCGCAAAATATCTGACAGATGTGAACAGTCCTGGGGTAGCTTGTCGAAGTGGTCGTCGCTGGAAAGAAAGAGCCGTTTTCCTTCTGAGCCCTTTGACTGGGTTTCAGTCAATGCTGGGAGGACTAGGAATAGGGGGTCGATCAACGTAGCCATGTAGAGATCCTGACCCATTGACACCCCAATTTTGCTGGTGTTATCTGTGGAAGCAGAGTTTGGTATGGCCTCAATCAACCAGCTACGAGGTGTCGTCTTCGGTGTTGCAACTTTGGTAAATTCGTAGATGCCCGTCTCGGGGCACACCAGGTATCTCGCAGGCTGGCCATGTCTGGGGTGAGGAAGAGTGACAATACGCGCTTCGGAGGAGGCTTTCGAAGGAAGAATAAAGACCTTAGAGGCGTTTTCTGCTCGGGGAGGAATGCTGAACTTTGAACCACTGATTTTGGGTTCTGAAGCTTTCGATTCGGAAGGAGCTGGTTTAGTAGATCGGGTGGCTCTCGCCATGATGCCGTTGTATGTGGTCAAAGAATTAAAAGGCTATAGTATACGGAAACAAGGTGGTATGTAGAACGAACTAATCCAAGAGAAAAGAGTGATAAGGAAGGATTGAAAGGAATGTTGATGCTCTCTCCAAAGAAGACCGGCTTGTGATAATGGTAAAAGAGATCAACGTAGAATCTAAACTTGGTAGCTACCAGGCGAAGGGACCCATGTTAATTAAGACGGGCGCCGAGAAATTGAGATTAGATGAGACGCGTTCTGACGCGCTCTCGGTTGCAGGGGTGACGCCAGATTTTGACTTTAATTTAGTGGACCTCCACTTTTTCTGTTTGAGGCTGGCGCCCACCCGTCCAGGAACTTGAAGCCGCTAGGCCACCTATTGCTCAGCAAAGTATAGCATGCCTCAGGGTATCAGAAAGATTGACCGCTGGAAGTATAGGAGACGAAATCATTAGGTCAGCTTATGCTCTTTATGCAATAGTCTTTAGACTACTTATTTTTGTACCCTAAGACTTAGGAGTGTAACTTTTCTGCTACCCACTAGCATGGCTAGCATGGCATGCGTTGGCTTGTGGACCTATATGCAAGCAAGCCCAGTCCGATCCAATCCAAGTCAACACTTGAAAAGCAAACATTCCCTGCCTGCATCAACAGCCCAAAATCGATAGGTTTTCCCTCGATATTTTCTTTTCTTTCACCGACGACCGACACTCAACAGACGGGATAGAAATATCCAGCTGGATGGCTATCGCATCACTTAAACTCTACTTGCCGCCCTGACCAACTGGGAATATGCTATAGACTTATCGCATACTTACTGTTCAGTGATCGCATTAATACCGGGGCTGGTTTCTAGCTACAGCAACAATTTAGTATACATCGTCTCGGTATCGCCATGGCTCCTGGTAAGAAAGATCACAACTCTGGGCTGGAAGCCTTTTTATGCGACAATTTACTGACCTTGCCCACACAGCTTCTCCAGCAAAACAAGGAAACGACTCCCAGTGGCCCCCACGATCTCCGCATGAAGCTTTGCTTAGTACACCGCGGGGACGAGAGCGATACCGACAGATGATGACTTCGCCCACACCTTCGCCGTCAAAAAGAGGTCGCAACCTGCCTTCAATGAACCTCATGGCCGAGATTGAAAACGACGACGAAGATGACGAAGACGAGGAAACGCTGCAGCTGAAGCTCCAAGAGATCCAGGCACGACTCAAGTTGAAGAAGTTACAGAGCGCCAAGTCAAAAAAGATGGACGATAATGTCGAGAATTTGCATGCGACGACCTCGGAGCTCGCGATATCATCGCAACCACCAAGTCGTTCAAAGCGCGCAACAACTCCCACGAGGGCAGAGCGACCCCCCACCCAGGAAAATAATATCCAAGTCCCTGCATCGCCAGTCAGAAGGGTCCAAGAGCCCCAGGTTCCGATCTCGCCTAGCAGGGTGCTGCTGGGCATTGATAAGGGACTCAAGGCCCGAGATGTTTCCTTGAAGCGTGCGCCCAGTTACAGAGACTCGCAAACAACGACTGACATCGGACACTCGGGTTATCTGCGGAGGTCAAGAACTACGGGGAGCGCTAACTCTTCTTTCGAGAGCAGGCCTCTGAGCTTCAACGAAAGATTGGCATCTGTAAGGACAGACGAGGCCGCTAGAGCTCAGCGACAAAAGGATATCCAAAAGTTGAGATCAAATACCTTTGGAATCAGCCAGGATGAGATGGAACAATACAAGAAAAAGGCTATCGAAATCCCAGATGAGCCAATCAAAACTCCATCATTTTCAAGGGAAGAGGTAATGGGTATCGCCAAACCAGCGGAAAGGCAACGAAGCTACACTGTCCCGAACATTCAATCGCCCAGTATAAATAGCCCAGCTATATCGTCGATGGCACTGACAAGAAGGAATAAGACACCTCCTGGCGAAGTGTCCGACGAACAAGCAGCCGGCATCGAGCCGTACTCGACGTTCCACTTGTCTAAGCGAATCCTACCGCATAGTGTCCTTGCCCGACATGTTTCTGGAAAAAAGGTTCACATAATCAAGGATCTACTTAGAGTTGTCAAAGCACCAGATTTTGCTCTACCAGATATTGAGCAGGACATTGTTGTATTTGGTATTCTGGCAAAGAAATCAGAGCCTCGCGCCCACAAGCCGACACAGAAGAATGGGAAGACAGAAGACCGGGGGAAATACATGGTTATGACTCTGGTCGATTTAGAATGGGAACTGGACCTTTTCCTCTTCAACTCTGGCTTCACACGATACTGGAAGCTCACTGAGGGAACTGTCATCGGCATTCTCAACCCCACAATCATGCCACCACCACCTGGAAGACACGATACTGGCAAATTTAGTCTTGTCATCAACTCAGATGATGACTCCATTGTCGAAATTGGAACAGCTCGTGACCTGGGAGGTTGTCAATCGATCAAGAAGGACGGAGGCCTGTGCGGCACCTGGATCAACAAGAAGCGAACCCACTACTGTGAATTTCATTCCAATGAAGCTATTCGCAAACAGAGATCTACAAGGATGGAGGTTAACGGAAGCAGCTTCGGCGCCAGGAAGAACAACTCTAGAGAAATTTTCCAATTTGGCGCTCAGAAGAAAGAAGAACCCAAGAAGTACGACTGGGAAACAAAAACGCATTGGTTTGCCTCACGTACAATGAGCGCGTCAGACCTAATCGACGGTAAGGATCGAACGCCGAATGACCGAAAAGAGAGGGCAGAGTATCTGAAAAGAAACATGGAGGCGAAGGAAAGAGAGCGGGACATGATGAAGAAGCTTGGCCAAGTCGGCAATGCCGCTGGAAGAGAATATATGCGGCATGCTGGCACACGGACTTCGAACATGCCTATCTCGGGCTCATCCATGCAACCGTCATCAAGCTCGGCGAATATTGCAGATGAGGTCTTCAGGCCAGATGCAAGGTCGCTCGGACTACTGGGCAAGTCTGCTATTCATCTCAGTCCCATCAAACGAAAACGCCCTGACAGCTCTTCAGCTGGATCACAAGCCGGCTCGGCTACAAATAGTGGGCCGTCGGCTTTTGGCTGGGGAAGTAGTTTGAAAGACAAGCTTTCGAAGATGAAGGATGGAGAGAAGTTACGTAAAGACGGGCAGCCGCCAGTGAGGAAGAAGACTCGTTTCGTTACAGATAAGGGCATTCGAGAAGCTGGGAGAGAAAGTCTTGGCAATGAACTGTTGGATCGGCAGGTCATGCTTGACGATGACGACGATCTGGTTATTGTATAAAAAAACAAGGACTATTATTTCCTTTGTTGGCACCTACACGGCGTACTGACAAGCATGAGGCTGTCGGGTTTGTTTTGCTTGGCGTTACATACAGATGCTTCGGGCATGGTTATGAATGAACGATTTTTGGTTAGAGTTATCTCTATATCGCTTGAATCAAGGCAGATCTTATTGATTGCATCAGCACAGATGATGCCCGAAAAGTGTTCCCGAGGTTTCGTTTTCTTGCTGGTCAAAAACACGACGTCAGCAACATGTGATATCAGACTCCCCAATAGATCTTTCCATGAATGCAGCCACGCAGACCGCCGCATTAATGTCCGGTCCGCAGGGTAGAAAAATTGGCCGCTTGAAGTACGGGAGACCAAATTAGCGGGTCACTTTATGTCAATTAGACCATAATCTTAGGTCGTTTATTTTTGTACCCTAAAGCTTAGAGGTCATACTCTCTGCTACCCGCTAGCTGGTATCATTCAGGCAAGCTCATATACTAATAACATACTGTCTTCATAGAGAGCGTAGGAAAGGGCTTGAAGTTCGAGATAGAACCTAATCTGTTGAGCTCTATCTTGCCATTAGCTTAACATTTCGACATAGTCTGTAGACTGAGTTTATCTTTGACAAAATTAAGCATATCTGTATTATTGTTTGTTCCTTCTACAACCGATAATTGCCGAGAGTTATAGTGAACTGTTGCGTATGGGATGACTTCAAAGGCTTGATATTGGACGAGCTTGTCCTGTGAGGAACAGACAACACGCCACCAGGTGCTTGAAGCTGACAGCTGAACTAGATTTGATCAAGTAATGAAGCTCAATTGGACCAACGTGGAGGATAGCAGAGAATGCCACGAGTCTTTGGGTGGTTACACGAGCATTCGTTACGTTTGATTGATCATCGTGATTCTTAAAGGATATACGTCAGGTATTATTCAACTGAAGGATCATTCCTTGGTTGTGATGCTCAGCGAAGGTTGAGTTCCTAGCTTCAGGGCGACAGTCTACCTCCTTGACTAGCCGAAAGAGCACTCTTGCATGTCAATTGAGTTGATCTTTGAATGATACGCTGTTGAGGCGCAGCACCATAGTGACGAGTAGTGATTACTCTGCGAGGTGGAATATACCGCAATTAAGAAGGCATTGGGCAGACTATACGGCTCATTAACAAGAACGACTCCTCCAAGTACGAGCCCCCACGGTCCAAATTCACCAAGCGGCTTCTCAGACCCTGGAATACCCCGGATTTTCCTGCATGAAGGCCCCCAAGAGGCGACTCTCGTGAGCATTTCCCCTCATAACAAGATGCATACAAGCGGAGTGTCTGGTCGACTCTACCAATCTCGAAGCTGCCCATTTCTCTGACCGGTTTACTCGTCCTCTCGGAGTTGATGGATTGAATCATTTGACTTGTTTTTGGCCCCGCTGAAGTTTTTGTGAGTTATCGGGTTTGACGAGGTGCAATTGGGGTTGAATGAGAGGATTGAAGGATAATAATGCGTCTGTAAGTTGGGAGTTTGGGGTTATAAAGACCGGCAATTCCTACTTCAGCTCTCGAATGGGATCCTATAACATTGTTTTATTCTGTCAGAAACTCCTATAGCTGGTCCCCATATTCTATACCCCAATCTTCTTTCTAATTCTGTGTATCACCAAGCTCACTCACTCTAATCATGCCTCCTCATAATGATACCCCTTCACCAGCAAGCTCTTCTTTCGATGATCACTTATACAATCACAACCAATGGCACTCAAGCATTGAGAACAACAACTTGATAGCCAATCCTTCATCGTCAGCCACCAGCGTTTCTGTAGAAGACGGGCTGCATACATCACGCCCGCTAATCCCTGGCGTCTATGTCCCAACAATGTGTTTTTTCGACCCGGGTACGGAAGACGTAGATACCGCTGCAATTGCCGCCCATGCTGTGCGACTTGCTCAGGCTGGTATAACAGGTATTGCTACGCAGGGATCCAACGGAGAGGCAGTTCATCTCAGTCACTCGGAGCGGCAGTTGGTCACCGCCACTACGAGAGCCGCCCTGAATGACGGCGGATTCTCGCATGTGCCCATCATCGTGGGATGTGGTAGCCAAAGCACGCGCGAGACCATCCAATATTGCCGTGAGGCTTGGGAGGCTGGCGGTGACTATGCGCTGGTGCTACCTCCGTCATACTATTCCACGTTATTTGGCCCGGCATCAGAAACCATCCTGGAGTATTTCACAAGAGTCGCGGACAAGTCTCCCATACCTGTAATCATCTACAACTTTCCTGGTGCTGTGAATGGCATGGATATGTCATCGGATACCATCATCACGCTTGCACAGCATCCCAACATCATAGGCGTCAAGTTAACGTGTGGCAACACAGGGAAGCTGAACAGAGTGGCTGCGGCAACTCGCAAACTATCAAAGCACAATCACAAGCAACCAGAATTCCTCGTTCTGGCAGGATCTGCTGACTTCCTGATCCCTTCTCTAGCTGGTGGTGGTCACGGTATCTTAGCAGGCTTGGCCAACATTGCTCCGAGGGCATGCATCAAGACAATGGAACTTTACATGGAAGGACGTGTTTCCGAAGCACAAAAGATGCAGGAAGTTGTCTCACAGGGCGACTGGACGGCGATCCAGGGCGGTGTGGTTGGTGTAAAGGCTGGATTGCAGGCGTGGATGGGTTACGGAGGCTTTGCAAGAAGTCCGCTGCCGAGGCCGGACATAGAGCAGACAAGACGATGGAAGGACGGCTTTCGAGACCTTGTGATGTTGGAGCAATCACATTCTTTGTGAGTGACATGATTTAGCTCTTGAGGTGATGATCATAGGGGTCAGTCAGTCACTGTGACACCAAGGCATACAGGTCAGCATGGATACGGAGAGCTATGACAGTGCTGTAAAACAGAACAATCGATAATTACGTGTACGTAGTACATTTGTACCCGTAACAAGCGGCGGGTTTATCCTATGATAGCATTGAATAGAGTTCAAACACCTTTGTTGCCATACCGGGACCTGCATGGGCCGAGGGCTTACTGTAAGCCATAACCATATAGCCACGAGCCGTGGTGATAGGGGTGTGGTGAGCAGTTGACATTTCATCCATCCAGACATCGCATATGTATGTAGATGTGGATGGTTCACAAGATGACTATCTATCACAATTGTTAGCGTGCGCCATATAAGCTATCTACTTTAATCTTGGAATTAACAATGAGACATTTTGTGGGCATGAGACAGAAACACTCACTCACTAATCCATTCAGGCTGACGCTAAAGACAGTCTCGGTTTTATCACCCGTATGTTGCAGAATGTACTTTACAATATTATGGCATTGAATTGCATCGTTAACTTGATGGAGTTGCTCAGTTCTGTGTGACATTCCCTGCACTGCGTGGGTCAACCATGGCATATCCATGTTCCTGGCAACCCTTTAATCAATTTTGCCAAGACGATCTGCAGGAACCCAGAAATGCTTTATTTAGTAACTGGAATGCCGATCTTGTTTTTTCTGGACCATGATTGGCAAATTCAATATTTCAGTATTTTATCGTGATGAATTTGTAGGAGAATGAATGGAAACGGGCCGTTGGAGAGATCGGCGTCCATCTACAACACTTGAATCAACGCTAGGAGAGAACAAGGCAGAAGAGGGATGGTATCGTGATCCAAATAGGATATACGGATACTGCAAGCAGAGTTCAATAGTTACATGCTATGGTGAGCTTGTTGCACTTTAGCACTAGGCTGAAGATCTTTTACCATGTTTGTCAAGGGAGCTAGCAATAAATTATTGAATTTGTTGGCAGACGCAAACACAGACACGGACACAGGCCTTGGCAACACTGATGTATCGTAACTATAATCGAGGCTATAGCCACCAAGAACATGGGTTCCCCTCATTATGCTACTGCATAGCTAATCATATCATGAGATATTCTGAGAGAATGGGATTCAGATACCAGGATGTTGCTGCCATACTGCATGCCTAGTCTTGTCAGCCGCAAGGTAATAAACCACATATGCACTTGCAGTAAGCTAAGAAATGGCCCAACGTCACTTAGCCCAATGTCACTTTCTGCTACCCGTCACGAGAATGGCATTATGGCGTTGAAAGGGTTCCCTGTCAATGTCAAGTGATTGTTAAACGCCTTGGCACCTTTGTCAACTTCCATTTAGATGTTTGGTCGTTGACTTTTATATAAAACTCATGCGCCATCCATCAACTTTGTAGCCACAAGAACCCGTTGCCACCAGCGTTGAACTTCTCCGTTGGGAGGCGGGGAGGCACAAGGCTAAAAACAATAAACGGCGTAAACTCTGATCAGATCAGCCTGCGTTAGTTCGGCATCTAGAGATGCCATATTTGGATGTCGAGTTATGCATCTGACATCTCTGCTTGGTTGGACCTCATCGTAGGGCTCGTATATGTAGAAACGCCTCATGCAGATGGACCACCCATTTCTATGGGCGGTGTGTGGGTTCAACTGTAATGAGTAACTCAACTAACACGAGGTTTTCTCCGCGGCGGAAGCCTACAGACTTGTTTGAAATACGGGATTGGCTGCAGCTCGACTTAACATCTACAGGCAGTTTGTTCTGCACAGGCTTGTCAAGATGTAAGTGGTTGAAGGGTAACTCCGTGCATATGGAGGCTTACTGCTGAACACCATCTTTTCTGGAGGCGGAAAGCGAGAGCGAGTAGGTAGTTAATAAAATAAACAGAGGAGATCTCAATCGAACGAGTCCCGCTCTTAGTAGACTTCAATAGTTCTAAACGAGGCGAACTTGCGAAGAAGCGGAAATAATCACGCGTAGAGGTCGATGCGTCGGCTAGTGACAGGCTAGAACATGAGTCTAAGGAGAAGATGGAGGGATGTTGACATGATAAATCTCCCTGAGACATGGCTTTTATGGTGGGGATGGGACGGCAAGCGGCAAGGCAAGACAACCTAGACAAGATGAATTCAAGATTAGTAGTCTAGTCAAAACAAAAAGGATGGTGCCCCTTTGGTCTGAGACCATTGACCAAGTTAGGGACTATTCCATTCTCAGTACGGGATAGTTTAGGGGGCAAAGTTGGTACCTACAGTAGAGTTGAGCGAGTGGCTGTTTCTGTTTCACGAGTGAGAAAAAAGGACCTAATAAAGCTGGCAGCTGAGCTGAGAAAGGAAAAGCCACTGTCCTGAATGATGATCGAGATTGGGTCTAGCTTAAACGGTGAGGACGAACCACGAGGCCTAGGAGCCGTAATTAAACCGTCATGATACTAAAAAAGGGTCATGGGCTTTTTTTAATTCATCAATGTCCAACAAGAAAGGAACCGAATGTGGACATTTTGGGTTGCCTCAGGTAAACAAGATGACCTAAAGAAGCAATTGTGGATTTTCTTTTTGTCTTGCATTGTCTTGTCCTGATCTTTATACGTACAGTATCAAACAAAAAAAGTTGAATTTGTTTATTGTCATCAGAAACGCATCCATAACCCTGAAAAGCCTCGTATAACTGTGCCGACACTTCCATCCCTATTTCCTTCGCACCCTAGGAGGTAGGTAGGTACTCATTTGATCGGCATCCCCGTCTAGATCCGGCGCCAAAAGATTCCGTATTTTTTCGTTTATTTTTATTTAGCAAGGTTTTTTATCTCCTATTACTAGGTTGTGTCAGTAGTAACAGTACGTAAGTGAAACATAGTCGGATCAATCATGAAAGAAAAAAAGGGAAAAAAAGGGAAAAAATACTGGAGTACATCCTGGTGGCCTGACGTATGTTTGACGCGCTGTGAGTTGTTCTCGGGCAGACGGCTGAGGTTCTGGGCTACCAATCAATTCATCAAATATGCAACTTGAATGGGTACCTACAACTGCAGCTGCAGCAGAGCGGGTTGTCAGAATAGAGCATCGTGTTGATCCTTTTTTAGTACCTATACGCCGAGGTTCAGGGCCAACCAGCCTGGTCGATTGGTCACAAAAGATGTAGGGGTGGCTTCACTGAGCCGAGATCCTTGGATTGATCTAATCATTCCATACAGAGTCCCTGGATGTATTCTACTCAGCCCTGTCCCCTTCGCGATTATGGCCTCATTGACTGGCCGTATAGCCGCAAAAAACAAATTGCACTTTGGTAAAAAATATCCATGACAATCTTTCGCATCCTTTCCTCAGATCATCCATCTCCATTTGCTTCTGCCCACTCATACTCCCTGACTAGCCGGTTAGGACGACTGATCCCTGGTCGTTAGAATTTCAGGTACTGGCCCAGCTCTAAGCGCACTTTCATTGGGCGATACGCTGCACCTAGTCTGAGGGTAATTTATGTCCAACCGGTACCTCAATCTCTCATATAAATTAACTGTCCTAGCTAAGTACCTGACTGCAGCCGCTAACAAAGCCCTTGTTGTCCCTCTGCTCGTGTCGTGCCGCTGACCTTCTCCATTAACAGCCTAGTCCGCTCCACTCACCAGGCACAACTCCAGCTAATTCCAGCTTCCCCAACCGCTGAGGTACCGCTGGGCTGGGCTGGCCCGGGCTGGATCGTTTGATACCCTGCTGTTTCCTCGCACATAATTAGTCCACCTCGTACTCACACACACGCGCACACCATCAACGTTGGATTGCATCTTACTGTACCTGATGATGACTACAGCTCTTGTTCTTATTGCATTTACGCTTAATGCTTGGCTCGGCTTGTTCACGCGCAATCAATTCCAACCTCAATCTCCCTCTTGCTCGCCTGACAGACAGTCTTTAGCCCGTAACTTTAGTCTCGTCATCCTTCAGGGACACAGACGTTGATCCGGCCAATGTGGCGTTACGAGCACTTCAAGCTAAACGATACAGAAAGCCAGGTGCAGGGCATGTGCATGGGTCATGCTATTTCACCCACACCTCATAGAACTTCGCTGGTGGATACGACCCATGGAATATCGATCTTTGCCCTACCTGCCCACCCCCTCCCCCTTGTCATCTAGGGTGTTGCGAACCCCTTTGACGATGATTGACAGCTGGAAAGACGCCAGACACGGAGATTCGGATGCGGAGAAGGGATCGTTGCCATAGCCATGCTTCTTTTCACACCCCTGGCCTCGTACTATCCCGGGCATCGACCTGTCTAATACGGCCATGGCTCAGCTACTATATCTCGGAGCATTTCCCACTTCCTTCTTTCTCGGTCTTGTCCTCTCAGAACAAGCAAAGTCGTACATTGACGCACGACTTCTGTTCTGGTACATTCGTTTTACTTTATTTCTCTGGACTAGTTTCATTTCATTATGCTGGGTAAGTTCCTAGTTGCCGCTCTGGCGGTTGTTGCTGGAGTCAACCCTGCCGAGGCTCAACAGCAAAACATCTTCATTACTGGTGTTCCAGTCACTGGTGGAAGTGCCGTTCCTGCTCGCCGCAACATCAATGACCTTATCAACTCTGGTGGTCCCACTCTGTAAGTCATTTTGTCTTGTAGCCAACACCACCAATGCTAACATCTAGCCAGGGACCTTTACATGCGAGCCGTCCGCTCCATGTACGATGCCAAGGAGACCGATTGGAAGTCTTATTTCCAGGTTGCTGGTATTCACGGCAAGCCATTCATCCAGTGGAACGGCGGTGGTGGCCGAAACGGCAACGGCTGGCCTGGATACTGTCCTCACGGAGAGAGCATCTTCCTGACCTGGCACCGACCTTACGTCCTGCTTTACGAGCAGATTCTCGTCGAGCACGCCAAGCGACTCGCCAACCTTTATCCTTCCAAGTACCGTGCGCAGTACGTTGATGCAGCCAACAAACTGCGAGCTCCCTACTGGGATTGGGCCGTTGATGGCATTCCTACTATTCTTACCAAGACCAACGTCAACGTCAAGGTCCCTAACGGCAGCGGTCTCAAGACCATCAACATGAAGAACCCTCTCTACACTTACAACTTCCCCAAGGAAGCTCTCAACGGAAAGTACGGAGACTGGGATGACGAGGATCGCAACCGAATCTACCACTGCCCTGCTCCCGACAGCTTCCCCACCTCCGCCAACGGACTCCTTCGCAGGCGACCCTACAAGCAATGGGTTTACGATGTCATGACCCGACCCACCACCTTCAACCAGTTCGCTTCCACTGGTGCCAACGGTGCTTCGCTCGAGCAGATTCACAACGCCATTCACTGGGATGCTTCTTGTGCTGGCCAGTTCCTCGCCACCGAATTCTCTGGTTTCGACCCTCTCTTCTGGCTGCACCACACCCAGGTCGACCGTCTTTGGGCCTACTGGCAGGCTATGCACCCTACCCAGTCTTCTTTCAGCGGCTCCTACGCTGGTGGCTCTCGATACTCTACTCCTCAGGGCACCCGCATCACCCAGAACTCTCCTCTCCAGCCTTTCTACCGATCCAAGGGTACCTTCCACACCTCTGAGACTATTAAGAGCATCCAGAGCTTCGGTTACACCTACGCTGGACTTGAGTACTGGCGCATGTCTCAGAGCCAGCTTGCCAGCTCTGCTCGAACCACCATCAACCGTCTCTACGGAACCAGCAGCGCTCGTCGTCGCAGTCTTGATGAGCGTGCTGATGGCAGCACCACTCGTTACTTCGTCAACGTCCAGCTCGACGTCACCGAGGTTGAGCGCCCCGCTCAGGTCAACGTCTACATCTCCGGAAAGCTTGTCGGTGGTCTCGTTGTCATGCGACAGCCTGCCGAGGGTATCATTCACGGTTCCTTCTCTGCCGATCAGGCTGCCGACACCCCTCAGCTTCTTGCTTCTTGCTCCCCTGACAAGGTTGCCGATGCTGTCAACAAGGGTATCCAGGTCGAGATCGTCAAGCTGAACGGCAACAAGATCGACCTCAAGGGCGTCCCCAGCTTGAAGGTCAGCCTTGACGACGTTGCTTACACTCCTCCTGCTGCTGAGGACGACCTCCCCACCTACGGCAAGTCCATCACCAAGCCTGCCCAGGCCGCTGCCCTTACCAACGCCAGAGCCGGCCAGGCCCTCAACGTTTGTAACAGGGAGCTTCCTTCTTTCAAGCCTCCTGCCTAAATACCCAATTGATAGGACACGTTGTCTGTTTTTTTCTTCCATTTTGTCACATCTGTCTTTGGCAAGCTCTCATGCTCACTGCCGCGACTCATTACAAGGATCACTAGCAAACCGCACAAATTCGTTTATGTAATTTTAATCCCTGGCAGACTCAGGGAGTCACGATTGTATTTTTCGCCAGACTATGTCTATAGTTGCCCAATAGCGGTCCTTTTGTCATGTTACAACTTTGAAGCTTCCGTGAATATGATCATGTGATATAACGAAAGTAGCCACGATAGCTGCATAGCGGCAGGTTGTGTCTCACGCCATGGTGTCTGACTTAAAGCTTGCACGTGTTACCGAGCAATTGTATCCGTATGTTCCCAAGTATAAGTAACACTGTTGTGTTTAGCTGCAAAACATTGTTTCTTTCATGTGTTAGCATTAACTTTATACCACACTGGACTTGAGTTTGCCATGATAAAATCACGTTGAAAGTGTAATTAACCTTTTTTCGTGACTGTAACCTAACCCTTAGGGTGTCAGAAAGATTGACCGCTGAAAGCATAAGAGACGAAATCAGTAGGTCACTTTATGCTCCTTGCGCTATAGTTCTCAGACTACTTATTTTTATACCCTAAGCCCTTAGGAGGCCTTTTTTTCTGCTACCTAGTAGCCAACTAAAGCTTCTCTATAGATAAGTAGCAATGTTGACGATCCTGAGAAATTAAGAATAAGCTTGATCATTCTTTTTGCAAGTGCTTTCCAAGGGCTGAGATACAAGAAACGGGACATTGATCGCAGTTGAAGCGGTAGAATTTTGATGAGCTGGTCTTGTTCTGGGATTCATGGGGGGCTACTCGTATATGTCAAGTATTGGGTAACTGTTTGATACCAATTAAGAAAAGCCACTGTTTTCATTAATTATTGGAATTCTTTTCTTGTACCGGAGTTTTGAAATGCTTGTCGTGAGCTGGTGCAGTTTGTGTCTGTATCAAACTGCCACATCGTCAACCACTCCCGACCTGGGTACAATTCCTAATCATGCTATTGCGGAGCTATGTTTCCACAGTTGATAACTGATTTTTATAAGATCTTTGATACTGATCTTTCCGTTACGTATGCGTCAAATCCTAATGACAAAGGTACATTCCTGGGTATTTAATCTACCACATGGTTTGTTTGTATCAATATCTGCATAAGGCGAGCGGCTGCAGCCATCTCAACACACAGAAGGAAACTCAGTAAGTTTAGAATCTCACAATATCTATAGGTAATATTTGTACTCGAGTCAGTATCCGTAAATAGTTTTAAGAAGAGGTTCCAATCTTCCCTTCCAACAAAATCGACTAAAGTAATGGTATTCTGAGCTCAAAGCAAAGAGTTAGCCATAGTGCTAAGGGGGCTATGTAGAACAATGCAGAACGAGTTAAAGATGATATCTCAAATAACGAGGGGCTAGAGTCTTGTCGATTACCTGATGATGATAATGCTGCTGCTCCCATGCGTACTGAGCTGCTTTGATGTAATCCAGTGCTAGAGATGAGCAGTAATAGATTCATCTTTACCTACAGTCTATCTTGACGTCTTTGGTCTCTTTTATGAGATAACCTGGAGAATAGCTAGTATTTTTTAAAGCTCGTGGTGTTCTCAAACAGTGGAAGCCAAACAAATCTGAAGAATAAGGCTTACTGCATATTGCTAAGGAAACAATTGCAACACTACAATATGTGGCTTATACATGTATGCTAGGATAGAATCCTTTCAAGTGAGTCCTTAAATGAAGACCCTATCACTGTTTTGCTGACCCATACCTGATACCTTGGCAGGAGAGGTTGCTACATGGTAGACCTCGCCCAGAAGACAACCACGAAATATACTTCGACTTGAGCAGTTCTTATTCGCATATATACAAACTGCCCAAAATGACTGATTTCTATAAGTATTAAGTGAGAGGAAGCTCTTAGTCAAAGGAGCAGTTACAGCCACCGCAAGCTATATTTAGGTTCTGCAGCCTTGCAACTGAATCTTTGTGTCACCTTCTGACCCAAAATAACAAAACTTGATATTCGCAAGAAGGATTCAACGACTAAAGATCTCCAATAAGGAAAGCCAACCTGACTTCTCACTAACACGAAATGGAATCAGTCTTGAAGATAGGCTGTCACGTGGGTCGGGCCTGGGCCACAAATATTCACATCGTGAAGACTCTGGTTGGTCAAACTCAACTTCACAACCTTACTGTCACCTTATATGTCTTTTATTCCAATACACTTATACGACACGTCTTCAAAATGGCATTCGAGATTGTTGTCCCTTCGAAAAAAGAGGTCCCTGGCGTCGCCGACACCTTCTTTGCCGCCATGGACATCAACCTGCTGATGCACTCGCAATTCCCTACCCCAAAAAGCAAGGAGTTTATGTATGGGTGGCTTCTGAAGGATACCATGGATCACATTCAAAACGCTGACAAGGGTGTTCTTGTCGCGCGTGATCCAGAGACTGGGAAGATAGCAAGTTTCGCCAAATGGAATATCCAGCGGCAACCGCGGCTAGGAGAGGAGGAGGACCACGACGATGAAGAGTTCCCAGATTACTGTCGGCGTCAGTATCTCGGGCCTTATGCTGCCCTCACCAAGAGCAAAAGGGATAAAGTCCTAGGTGAAAAGCCGTATTTCCGTGAGTATTTCGGAGCAGAGTGGGAACTGACGAAGCGAGGCTCAATGTTGACCGCTATATCCGTACATGAACTACAAGTTCCGACGGAGCCTTGTTACGTGTCATAGCACTAACATCTATTAGACGTGACATATCTCTGCACAGATCCTGAGTTTGGCGGTCGAGGGGCTGGATCGATTCTGCTTCGCCGAGTGCAGGCTGAGGCGGCTGCAGAAAACATGCCAGTCATCCTCGAGGCGACCATGAACGCAGTATCTTTCTATAAGAAGTTGGGCTACCAGATTCAGGACAAGCTTGAGATGATGCTCCCAGCGTGTGGCTCAGATGAACCGACTGAGCACTATGAAGAGAGAATTATGGTTTGGCAACAGGCACGCGATTGAGTTCCGAAAAGAGTTCTATGGCTACACATGCACACAAACCGTCGCTAAACGTTGTCGCCAATCGTCCCCACCTTCACGTGGTGGATGTTGGTCTCTAACATGACATCGATGGACGGGCCGTTTAGAGAGCCCAAGTATATTACAAAAATTTGGAGGTCTCGAGGGTCGCTGGATAGAATTACGTCGCCATTGCATGTTGGCAGAGTCTTGTCCACAGTACACAAACAAACAGGCGGATACAGGCGGATTCGATCAACACAAAAGCTCCGGACCCAACGATGACGCTCTTCAGACATTCCTCGCCCTAATTAATTGGCAAGTGTGGCCCGTGCAGTAACTGGATGCCGGGACAGAGCCGGCCCCACGAGACAAGCAGGCAAGGGTTGCGTTTCTTCCCTTGCTGAGTCAAGATCGGGGAACAAGGGACATTCTCGGATCGAGAGTGTTTCTTCTATGAACCAATCATAGAAGAGTTATTATACCAAAATGATCTCAAAGCTGCTAAGATCTTGGTTGAAAGAGGTTGCATGCGGGGCAGCTCTCAGTGTTGCTAGAAAGATTTGATGTATCACCGAGAGCTATGTGTTCTGCGAAAGCAATTGGAAACTTATTACTAACGAATTCTTGTTCCAGGTATTCATACGACATAATTTGGTTTGTTATCAACGCGGGAGGGACAAGACGATGATCACTTGGCAACCGGAGATAAACTGGCTGATGACAGGATAATTTTGGCAAACAGGTAACGTTTTGTTGAACTTGGCCAAGTTTATACGTCGTGCACCAAGAAAGCATCGGGTCGAACCGGGATCTTGTCAGTTGTCCTGTAACCGACGCTGGGCATGGCAATGAGTCTGTGATAACCTGCGTACCTTGCCTATACCAAGAGTATTTGATAGAGATAGGGGAGATTTGCGGTGTTTTGAACGTTGATGAAAGAGAACCCGACGGGAAGGATCAAGAAACGGTCGGGAAATTTACCAATGAGATAGTAGGTAAGAAATATCAATTTAGCCGCTACTGAGGATTTTGTGTTTGACTGCAGCGGTAAATAAAACCCCGGACGAGCCATTACGTTACAACAACTGCCGGACCATGCAGAATGAGGCAAGACAAGTCCAGAGATGGTTTTCCATTTGGTAATGGGCTCAGGGAGACGCCCTTGGTCAGCCGGTAGTGAGTACTTCTTACTAGGTGTCCTTAATTATATTATACCAAGTATAGTGTACTTTATACCTCTTAAATGGCCTCAGAGTGGTGTTGGAGCTGGCATCTGTCTGTGGTTGTGCAGAAAAATGTCTCTCAATGCTGGGGTGGTTCCTCTTTTTTTCTTATGTCGGGTCGCGATTTAACTTATCTTTTGCCATTATGTATTTCTATCTCATCTACTTTTCTAGAGATAAGCTTAATTGTCCATTCAACTCTCACGACCTTTATCCTCACTCGCTCGCATGTACGCAAGTCACAGCGACATCAGACCTGGACCTGGGCCCGGACCTAGACTCCCCTCAATTATTCATGATGTGACCGATCCGGTTCTTCCCTCGGCTTAACGAAAATGAGTTGATGATGATCTCTTGTCTGGGCGTTGTCTCGTTGTTTTTACGTTGGTGACAGCGCCGCAGCCGAGAAACTCGTCTCACATCGTGCTACTCTTCTGTGCAGGCATACATGACTGGGGTTATATCTCGTTACCTGATTGGACATGATTCATGTTTCCAGGATTTCCCCGCCAATATCTGTCGATAAGATACCAGAGACGCATTTGAAGATAAAGTCTTAATAAGGGTCTCAAGATTTGGCGTTTCGCCATAACCTCATCAACCCCAGACCCTGCACATCATCTAGGCACTAATGAGTATTAGCCAGTGTTCGCCCAACTTGAAATGCCATATTGGGAACATTGCTCCGTAGCTCTTAAATTACTTTGAGAGACGAGCTTGAGAAAAAGCACCATTGGCAGGGCTTGTGCCGAAAAGACTTTGGGGGGTTGGATCTGGAGAACCCGGGACCCTTAGAAAGGTTCTAAGCTTTAGGTACTGATGGTAGTAGTTTAGGTTGGTCAGGTACTTTTCTGCATGCGGGGAATGCCATCAAGTCGGATGTATCCTTTCTCGTCTTGTTTCCCTCCTCTCACATGCTGTTTTTCTTTACACTTCCTTAGTACTGGTTGGTACTGTAGCGGTATCATCATCATCGTTGCCGTCGTCTTCCTCTGCTATTCTCTACTCCTCTCCTGCCTTTTTGACCTTTCTTCCCCTACAATTCTTGGCAATCGCTTACCGAGTGTTGTACTGGAGCCAACAAACAAATATTTCACGGCTACATGCGGACAACTATTCTGATATAAATACTAAAGTGAGTGACGGCGTTGGCGCCATTTTTTCTGAATGACGTCGAATCTGATAGGAGGTCTGTTAGCTTATCTTACTGTCTCATCACTCCCTGGCCTTGAAGGGCTCCTGCGCTACTGCGGTGCAGCATCGTTGTCAATATCAAAATCAAAATCGAAAAGCAGGTGCAACTCGTTCAGAATATCCTTCTCCAAAAAGAGAAGGAAGTCATCAAATCAGGCCAGGCAAGAGCAAAGGTTGCAGCGATCGAGAAAGGAAGGAAGGGACAAGACCCTGCTTGCTTGCATTCCAATCCAATCCTGATCCCCAGTTCCCCAGGCTTTGGTCCCCGCCTACAGAATTGAAACAGTCAATCTACCAACCAACCAGACAAACAGAGCACAGCTGACAGCTCACGACGGGCGTACCAAGACAAGCAATTTGTCACTCTACTGTACTGCCAGTATCATATGCCCAAGCTCTTGCCCCGTTTATCGCGTAACTATTGCGCCGCACTGCATTCGCATCATCGCCGCACAGTTTCCGGATCATCGCATTGTCTCGCCTCGCATCTTGTCTGTAACGCAAACAACGTATTACAGTCTAGATAGCATCGGATTGGCTGCGGATGGAATAGATGCGAGAGAGGGAGACATATCACAAAAAATAACTGACTCAAATAAGGACCGAGTTCGGTACACGACTCTCTTAGTCAATACTAATACTCACTCAATACCATCCAAACAATAGCCTCCCCGCTTGCAAAAAAAAGCCTTATCAGACAGATAACGACCGGTACTCGACCGAACAACTCTGACTCCATCGGCGCCCATCTGCGCCCGCCAGCCTAGTCCCTGACATTGGCAATTGGATCCAATCCCAGCATCTTGGATTGGATCCTACATACGGATCCCACTCTTGGCCTTTTGCCCTCACTTTCTACTCACTTACACACTCTGCTCGGGCCATTTCTTATCTTTTTCCTCCCTCATTCTTTACATTCTGGACCTTGTCAGCTTGTTCCGCCTTGCTTCTGACCTTGTCTCGTCTCTGCTTGGCTTTGCCTTGCATCACCTCACATCGTTTCTTCCCGCTTTCCCCAGATTCTTCCTTATCTCACACCAACCATTGACTTGTGTCGCGTGTCTATCTTCTATCAACACCCTCGAGCTGGATTTGGATAACGTGGTTCTATTAGATATCGTTACCACTATCTTGCTTCTCAGTGGTCGTAGCTCTTAACATATTGCGTCACTGTCACTGTCGTCCCCGTGGGCCTATCGCCTATCTACCTACGGTACC